CCGCAGGGGGTGTCAGCATGGAGTTTCTCTCGTATCAGTCAGAGGACAAAAGGAGAAAACCAAAAATAAATTCAAAAATAAATCAGTTCCAAGCCGTGTTACAGAAGGATTCTACACGTCGTAGGGCCCAGATCCACCTGCAGCTTCTATCGTCCATGAGACTCCGAGCCTGGCAGGCCCACTCATCCAGAGGCAAGGGAGGAAAGCCAGGGGGTGAATTACCACACGGGGGTTTCATTTTTTTAATTCTCCAGACTTTACCTATAAATGTTCCTAATTTATGGTCCAGTAACCTGTTTTCCTGAGTCTCCGAGCAACGCACGTTCCTCTGTGTGTATCCTACACTAGTGCAATGCATGATCCCCTGTGTGCATCTCTTGTACCTCTGTGTGGTATCAGTCATTCCTTGAGTCTTACATTCCAGTGCTGTTCTCTGCTTACATCGCCTTTCCACTTCGGTCAGCTGTGTCTGCACGGGTGTGTTGGAGGGCCGCAACCTGGGAGGTGTCCTGCAGAGCAACATCTCTACTATCAGGAGCTCTGGAGAAGACCTGGATCTCCTTAGACTCTGCACCTCTAGCACACCCATGCCAAACATACAGTCACCTTGTTTACTGCGCAGTCACTCTGTCCTTGGTGCCCTGCATTTAACATATCCAGTATCTACTCATTCCCAAGACCTGTATTCCTGGCCAGTTCCCTGTTCCGGACTATTCCGTACAACCCGGAGGTCATGGTGCCCTTGTATCCTCACAGTCACACCTAGCACACTGAAGCCTTTGTTTCCCATTATCCCTACTGATGAGTGGTTTCCTTAAGACTACAAAGCCCGATCCCTTGAGTTCTCTTCACATTGTGTGTGTGAAAATGCTTTTACTTTCTCTATTAAACATCGCCGTGAGTTCTACAGCCGAACGGATTTGTGGAATTTGGAGTCGCCGTGCAATAAAGACGCAGCCAGCCAATGCAGCATAGAACTACAATGCCCAGACAGCACAGCAGGGAGGGGAAGGACTTGGATAATCTTTCCTGAGAGCGGTGGAATTGGAGGACATCCCCCCCCTGAAGCCTTGTGAGCGGACGGATGTGTTGAGGACCATCTGCTGATCAGAGTAAAGACAACGCTACCACTGCCATCACCATCAGAGACCGAGGCTGTTGTCACTGTGGAGAGCAGACATCTGGAGGATGAGGTGCTGTGTATGAAGAGAGGAAACCCGAAAGTAACAGAGCATCCCATGTCTTTTTGCTGTTGTAATGTAATGTCAAGTACGGGACTTGTGTAGGTCATGTACAGGTCTCGTGTAGGTCCCGCCCCGCACAATTAGTAGTAGCCAATTAAACATTTAACCGGGCGGGGTCAAAATGACATGGACTTGCGTATGAGATCCATGCTCCCCAGATCCTCTCCAATTTGCCGTAAGAGTCCAGCCAAGAGTGCGGATAACTGCCCGTTGACCATCGTGTCAGTGATGCGGTTTTTGACTTCCAGATAACTAAGCACGGGGGAGGGTCTTCCAGGATCTGGCAATAGTTTGTTTGGTGGTCATAAATATTTGGGGGATTAAACTGTGTTGTCGCTTAAGGACCTGGGACAGGCTTATGTAAAAGCGCCTCCCATTGCATCCCATGTCTTTAAAAGAAGCGGCACCGCAAACAGTAGGGTATCGGCACTGGATCTAACCAAAGATCCTAACTGAGGAAGTCAATATGGAATTACCGGCCAGACGGCCATTTCCAAGGAAACCCAAAGTTTGTGTTCCTCATTGATCCAAAACATGAGTCAACAGAGAGGCCCTGTAATACTTTTCAGTGTGGGGAAGACCCAAGCCACCGAACAAGAATATCACATCTTCCTCTAGGGGACACCAGAGCCTGAATATCATACAATAAGTCCGTTCTAAGCTGAGCACGCGGGACACTAATGGGGACTCTCTGAGATAAATATAGAAATCGGGGCAAAGCCGACATTTTCAGGACCTAACCAGGACTGTGAGAGCTTAGACCAAGTCTGTAGATCTTGCCATGTGCGGTGTAGTGAGGGGAGATGATTCGATCCATAGAGGCGAGATAGATGAGAGGGAATGTGGACACCAAGATATTGGATGAAGTCTTCCTTCAAAGTGAATACATATGAATGGCGGTCAGTCGGGGGAAGTGAGACGTTCATAACTTCGGACTTGGAGTGCTTTACCTTCAAATGATTGACTGAGGGCTCCGAATCTGGAAAACTCATCCGATATGTGAGGGAAAGCCTCTCTAGGATTAGAGACGTGAAGAGGCTTAGCTAAAGGTGAGTATTCCTGACCGGGATGTCCTGAATGTGGGGATTCGCCCGGATCGCTGTGCCCAGATGCTCCATCACTGAGATATATAGGTGGGGGGAAAGCGGGCAACCCTGGAGAGTGCCATTGCAAATTCCGAGTGGGTCAGACTGAATCCCATTGACCCGGATCCTCGCTGGATAATAACAGCGAGGATCCGGGCTATAAAGCCAAGATCTTAAGCAGTAAGGACTGCGGAATCCCTATATTCTGTACGGTGCCCTGGATAAAAGACCAATCTAGGCGGTCAAACGCCTTCTCGGCATCAACTAATACTAAACATAAAGGAATATTATGTGTCTGGGTGTATTGATGAGGGTCAAAGTTTTCAGCATATTGTCTCCAGATTCCCTCCTGGGGCCATCGGCTGCAGTTTTATACGCGGTGGTGATATCACTTCTGAGTGTAACGTACAATCAGGAAGTGATGTCAACTACAGACAGGAAGTGATGCCAACTACAGACAGGAAGTGATGTCAACAACAGACAGGACATGATGTCAAAGGCACACAGGAAGTGAAATCTGACAAAGACAGCAAGTTCTGGCCAAGAGGCGAGGTGAGTGTAAGTAGAGAGGACACATCACTGCAACTGGAAGCAAAAGAGGTAAGAAGATATTATTTTATATTTACATCCAGTAACCCCCCCCCACGTCATGTCCATCCTCATCCTTCATAGTCACTGTGATATGTGTTATGGTTTATAGACCAGATACATCTTAAATATAGAGCCATTTAGCCAACTGTCCATCCAGAGCCGCCATTTATAGACCGGATACATCCTAAATATAGAACCATTTATCCAACTGTCCATCCAGAGCCGCCATTTATAGACCGGATACATCCTAAATATAGAGCCATTTATCCAACCGTCCATCCAGAGCCGCCATTTATAGACCGGATACATCCTAAATATAGAGCCATTTATCCAACCGTCCATCCAGAGCCGCCATTTATAGACCGGATACATCCTAAATATAGAGACATTTATCCAACTGTCCATCCAGAGCCGCCATTTATAGACCGGATACATCCTAAATATAGAACCATTTATCCAACTGTCCATCCAGAGCCGCCATTTATAGACCGGATACATCCTAAATATAGAGCCATTTATCCAACCGTCCATCCAGAGCCGCCATTTATAGACCGGATACATCCTAAATATAGAGCCATTTATCCAACTGTCCATCCAGAGCCGCCATTTATAGACCTGATACATCCTAAATATAGAGCCATTTATCCAACCGTCCATCCAGAGCCCAATTCATAGAGCGGATACATTATTTTGCTCCAGTTGGACTTTAATGAACAAATCTCTGATTTTCTCTCAGTTACACTCATACCGCCTTTAATATCATATGAGGAACAGTCTGAGGTGTGAGGACTCTGGAGGAACTCTGTGTAGACATTGTTCATCCCGGGACAGTCCAGATCATTCTCATGTTACAATCCATCTACAGAGAGGAGAGTCCGGTATAGATCACATGACCACATCAATAAACATGGAGAAGAACTGGAATCACATGACTGAGAGGATACTAGACCTCACCCTGGAAATCATCTACCTGCTGACCGGAGAGGTGAGGAGGATTCTGGGAATGTTGCCGGCCATCACTCCTATTATTGTAATGAGAAACAAAGCTGACTGCACATGTATCTCTACACAGGATCATAAAGTAGTGAGGAAAATATCCGGGGAGCCATTCACACTCAATAGCCGTCCTCAAGGGACATCACCCATCATGGTGCCTTCAGGTCATTGCCCGACACCTGAGATCAGCAGAGACCAGAAGATCCTAGAAGTCACCAACAAGATCATCGAGCTGCTGACAGGAGAGGTGAGCGGTGCTGGGAATTCTGGGACATGATCCAGGAACAGACAAGGGATGTGTCTGGATGGTGACTGTATCATTGTGTGTGTCAGGTTCCTAGAAGGACACCGGGATCTCTACAAGGATGTCGTGATGGAGAATGAGCCGCTCCTCACATCACCGGGTAAGAGGAGAGAGCAGTATGGAGGGTCCACCTAGATCCCCCATCATCTGTACACCATATGGAATGTCCATCTACATTCCTCGGTATCACAATGACATCAGTGCCCATCCCCCGTCACTCAGTGTTGGTTTTGGTGTATTGTAGAATGTGTTTCTCATGTCATTTTGCTTTCTATCAGACGGCCGCCATGTCCGGAATACCTCGGAGGGAGATCTTCACTCTGAAGTGAATCACATACGTCCAATGATACACCACAGAACATATTGTCTGGAGACATCAATGGATCCCTCTAATCCTGAGGAATCTTCTGACCAATCACATCACATGACTTCAGATATCCATCTCGGCTCCCACAGTGAAGATCCGTCTACAGATCCAACTATCCCCGAGGAATCTTCTCTCAGCCATGAAGGAGATCACACAGGAGAGAGGTCATTGTCATGTTTGGAGTGCGGGAAATATTTTAAGATGAAATCTAAACTTATACATCTCAAAACCCAGAACCATGTGACCTTTTCATGTCCAGTGTGCGGGAAATCTTTCACTGAGGAAATGGAGCTTCTTAAACACCAGAAAAGTCACAAGGGTGAGAGTTCTTATTCCTTTTCAGAGTGCGGGAAAAGTTTTATTGACAAAGGAACTCTTTTTAGTCACCAGAAAATTCACACAGGTGAGCGTCCGTATTCATGTTTAGAGTGTGGGAAAGGTCTCGCTAAAAAAGAATCCCATTTTACACACCAAAGAACTCGCACAGGTGAGCGTCCGTATGCATGTTCTGAATGTGATAAAAGTTTTTCTAGGAAGGACCATGTTCGTAGACACCAGAGAATTCACACAGGTGAGCGTCCGTATTCATGTATAGAGTGCGGGACATGTTTTGTTACAAAAGGACCTCCAATGAGACATCAGAGAATTTGTTGTTATTTTACCTCTCATTAACCCTTCGTGTATCCTAATCAGCCCTAGTGAGCTCCTTCTTCCCCTTCCCCCCATGGCTGTTATTTTCCTGCTGATTTGTATTTGTTTATTTCTGTCGATCTAAACTTTCATTTTGTATCTTTTTTTATTCATTTAGTGTGTGATTCTGTTCTCTGAAAAAGATACAAATTGTACAATAAAATGTTATACTTTAAGAAAAACAAATAATAGAAGTTTATTGGGTTTCAGACATAAGACAGCAAAAAGATCAGCACCTAGACCGACTAGGTGTAGACCGGGCAAACAGCGGCTCCTCCGGGAGTTATCGCTACAGTATGATGACTCCCGCACCGGAGGCTTCACGCAGGTGATCGTTCGTATTCATGTGCAGAATGTGGGAATTTCTGTCGATCTAAACTTTCATTTTGTATCTTTTTTTATTCATTTAGTGTGTGATTCTGTTCTCTGAAAAAGATACAAATTGTACAATAAAATGTTATACTTTAAGAAAAACAAATAATAGAAGTTTATTGGGTTTCAGACATAAGACAGCAAAAAGATCAGCACCTAGACCGACTAGGTGTAGACCGGGCAAACAGCGGCTCCTCCGGGAGTTATCGCTACAGTATGATGACTCCCGCACCGGAGGCTTCACGCAGGTGATCGTTCGTATTCATGTGCAGAATGTGGGAAAAGTTTTACTGACAAAAAAGCTCTTCTTTAGACATCAGAGAATCCACACAGGTGAGCGTCCGTATTAATGTTTAGACCGCAATGCTGAACTGGCGGGAAAGGTTGTGGGAAAGGTTTTGCTAAAAAAAGGAGGAGGAGGCAGCTGGCCTTATTATTATATATATGGCACCTGGAAAAATGGTCGGGATTGGATTTAATTTTTGTTCCCTTTTTTTTTTTTTTAGTTCACTGGGTCACTGGCCTTGAAAGCAAAAGAAGAATGTTTCATATGTAAGATTATATGCGTAAATTATGCTGATTTGGGGTGGTAATAAAAGTTTTGGGATCGTGTTTTCTGTACCCTTTTGAACTTGTAGGATTTGTGTCATCGGGTTTCTGGAAGCCATTGTTGGAGATGGTTTCTTGTTTTGAATTTTGATGACAATTTTTAATAAAAGAATGTAAAAAAAAAAAAATGTGCTAGGAAAGCCCGAAGCTTGTGCTCAGTGGTGTAACTAGAAATCACAGGGCCCCGTAGCAAAATTTTGTATGGGGCTCCCGTAATTTCTAGTTACACCCCTTGCAGAGCCCACTCGAGATGCCACCTGAGGGTTACATAGTATTTGAGGTTGAATAAAGACGCAAGTCCATCAAGTCCAACCTATTGCGTGTGTGCATTTAATGGCACCTTGAAAAAGGGCGGGAATTGGATTTAATTTTTTTTCCCTTTTTTTTTTTTTAGTTCACTGGGTCACTGGCCTTGAAAGCAAAAGAAGAATGTTTCATATGTAAGATTATATGCGTAAATTATGCTGATTTGGGGTGGTAATAAAAGTTTTGGGATCGTGTTTTCTGTACCCTTTTGAACTTGTAGGATTTGTGTCATCGGGTTTCTGGAAGCCATTGTTGGAGATGGTTTCTTGTTTTGAATTTTGATGACAATTTTTAATAAAAGAATGTAAAAAAAAAAAAATGTGCTAGGAAAGCCCGAAGCTTGTGCTCAGTGGTGTAACTAGAAATCACAGGGCCCCGTAGCAAAATTTTGTATGGGGCTCCCGTAATTTCTAGTTACACCCCTTGCAGAGCCCACTCGAGATGCCACCTGAGGGTTACATAGTATTTGAGGTTGAATAAAGACGCAAGTCCATCAAGTCCAACCTATTGCGTGTGTGCATTTATGATCAGGTGTGTGCGTGTATATGAGTCCATGTGTGATTTTTCTCTTAGGAGTACTTGTACCCCTGTATGTTACGGTCTCCAAGGAACTCGTCCAGGAGCCATACTGTTGCCCACTCCCCGACTTTCTCCAGGTCCTCCTGTAATGTTATAATGTCTAAATCCGTGTCTACTACACTCCCAATTTTCGTATCATCAGCAAACACTGAGACCCGACTACTCACTCCCTCACCGATATCATTAATAAACATGTTAAAAAGCATGGGGCCCAGCACAGAACCCTGGGGCCCAGCACAGAACCCTGAGGCCCAGCACAGAACCCTGAGGCCCAGCACGGAACCCTGAGGCCCAGCACGGAACCCTGGGGCCCAGCACGGAACCCTGGGGCCCAGCACGGAACCCTGAGGCCCAGCACGGAACCCTGAGGCCCAGCACGGAACCCTG